ACATATGGAGTTGTGGTCGTGGTTTCAACAACAGCTGTGGTAGAGGATGTTGTTGGTCCCGATGTGACTATTTTTGGTGTTTTTGTTGTCATAACTGTGGCTGTTGTGGATTCAAATGCTGTTGTCTCTGCAGGTGTTGTAGCTGTTCCTTCAGTGGTAGTGAAAGGCCCAGATGTAATTTCAGTACTCACAGATGGTTTTGATGTAACCGTGGTGGATCCTTGACCTGTTGTTTCAACATGTGGAGTTGTGGTTTTGGTTTCAACAACAGCTGTGGTAGAGGATGTTGTTGGTCCCGATGTAACTATTTTTGGTGTTTTTGTTGTCATAACTGTGGCTGTTGTGGATTCAAATGCTGTTGTCTCTGCAGGTGTTGTAGCTGTTCCTTCAGTGGTAGTGAAAGGCCCAGATGTAATTTCAGTACTCACAGATGGTTTTGATGTAACCGTGGTGAATCCTTGACCTGTTGTTTCAACATATGGAGTTGTGGTCGTGGTTTCAACAACAGTTGTGGTAGAGGATGTTGTTGGTCCCGATGTAACTATTTTTGGTGTTTTTGTTGTCATAACTGTGGCTGTTGTGGATTCAAATGCTGTTGTCTCTGCAGGTGTTGTAGCTGTTCCTTCAGTGGTAGTGAAAGGCCCAGATGTAATTTCAGTACTCACAGATGGTTTTGATGTAACCGTGGTGGATCCTTGACCTGTTGTTTCAACATGTGGACTTGTGGTCGTGGTTTCAACAACAGCTGTGGTAGAGGATGTTGTTGGTCCCGATGTGACTATTTTTGGTGTTTTTGTTGTCATAACTGTGGCTGTTGTGGATTCAAATGCTGTTGTCTCTGCAGGTGTTGTAGCTGTTCCTTCAGTGGTAGTGAAAGGCCCAGATGTAATTTCAGTACTCACAGATGGTTTTGATGTAGCCGTGGTGGATCCTTGACCTGTTGTTTCAACATGTGGACTTGTGGTCGTGGTTTCAACAACAGCTGTGGTAGAGGATGTTGTTGGTCCCGATGTAACTATTTTTGGTGTTTTTGTTGTCATAACTGTGGCTGTTGTGGATTCAAATGCTGTTGTCTCTGCAGGTGTTGTAGCTGTTCCTTGAGTGGTAGTGAAAGGCCCAGATGTAATTTCAGTACTCACAGATGGTTTTGATGTAACCGTGGTGGATCCTTGACCTGTTGTTTCAACATGTGGACTTGTGGTCGTGGTTTCAACAACAGCTGTGGTAGAGGATGTTGTTGGTCCCGATGTAACTATTTTTGGTGTTTTTGTTGTCATAACTGTGGCTGTTGTGGATTCAAATGCTGTTGTCTCTGCAGGTGTTGTAGCTGTTCCTTCAGTGGTAGTGAAAGGCCCAGATGTAATTTCAGTACTCACAGATGGTTTTGATGTAACCGTGGTGGATCCTTGACCTGTTGTTTCAACATGTGGAGTTGTGGTTTTGGTTTCAACAACAGCTGTGGTAGAGGATGTTGTTGGTCCGATGTAACTATTTTTGGTGTTTTTGTTGTCATAACTGTGGCTGTTGTGGATTCAAATGCTGTTGTCTCTGCAGGTGTTGTAGCTGTTCCTTCAGTGGTAGTGAAAGGCCCAGATGTAATTTCAGTACTCACAGATGGTTTGGATGTAACCGTGGTGAATCCTTGACCTGTTGTTTCAACATGTGGAGTTGTGGTTTTGGTTTCAACAACAGCTGTGGTAGAGGATGTTGTTGGTCCCGATGTAACTATTTTTGGTGTTTTTGTTGTCATAACTGTGGCTGTTGTGGATTCAAATGCTGTTGTCTCTGCAGGTGTTGTAGCTGTTCCTTCAGTGGTAGTGAAAGGCCCAGATGTAATTTCAGTACTCACAGATGGTTTTGATGTAGCCGTGGTGGATCCTTGACCTGTTGTTTCAACATGTGGACTTGTGGTCGTGGTTTCAACAACAGCTGTGGTAGAGGATGTTGTTGGTCCCGATGTGACTATTTTTGGTGTTTTTGTTGTCATAACTGTGGCTGTTGTGGATTCAAATGCTGTTGTCTCTGCAGGTGTTGTAGCTGTTCCTTCAGTGGTAGTGAAAGGCCCAGATGTAATTTCAGTACTCACAGATGGTTTTGATGTAACCGTGGTGGATCCTTGACCTGTTGTTTCAACATATGGAGTTGTGGTCGTGGTTTCAACAACAGCTGTGGTAGAGGATGTTGTTGGTCCCGATGTGACTATTTTTGGTGTTTTTGTTGTCATAACTGTGGCTGTTGTGGATTCAAATGCTGTTGTCTCTGCAGGTGTTGTAGCTGTTCCTTCAGTGGTAGTGAAAGGCCCAGATGTAATTTCAGTACTCACAGATGGTTTTGATGTAACCGTGGTGGATCCTTGACCTGTTGTTTCAACATGTGGAGTTGTGGTTTTGGTTTCAACAACAGCTGTGGTAGAGGATGTTGTTGGTCCCGATGTAACTATTTTTGGTGTTTTTGTTGTCATAACTGTGGCTGTTGTGGATTCAAATGCTGTTGTCTCTGCAGGTGTTGTAGCTGTTCCTTCAGTGGTAGTGAAAGGCCCAGATGTAATTTCAGTACTCACAGATGGTTTTGATGTAACCGTGGTGAATCCTTGACCTGTTGTTTCAACATGTGGAGTTGTGGTTTTGGTTTCAACAACAGCTGTGGTAGAGGATGTTGTTGGTCCCGATGTAACTATTTTTGGTGTTTTTGTTGTCATAACTGTGGCTGTTGTGGATTCAAATGCTGTTGTCTCTGCAGGTGTTGTAGCTGTTCCTTCAGTGGTAGTGAAAGGCCCAGATGTAATTTCAGTACTCACAGATGGTTTTGATGTAACCGTTGTGGATCCTTGACCTGTTGTTTCAACATATGGACTTGTGGTCGTGGTTTCAACAACAGTTGTGGTAGAGGATGTTGTTGGTCCCGATGTAACTATTTTTGGTGTTTTTGTTGTCATAACTGTGGCTGTTGTGGATTCAAATGCTGTTGTCTCTGCAGGTGTTGTAGCTGTTCCTTCAGTGGTAGTGAAAGGCCCAGATGTAATTTCAGTACTCACAGATGGTTTTGATGTAGCCGTTGTGGATCCTTGACCTGTTGTTTCAACATATGGAGTTGTGGTTTTGGTTTCAACAACAGCTGTGGTAGAGGATGTTGTTGGTCCCGATGTGACTATTTTTGGTGTTTTTGTTGTCATAACTGTGGCTGTTGTGGATTCAAATGCTGTTGTCTCTGCAGGTGTTGTAGCTGTTCCTTTAGTGGTAGTGAAAGGCCCAGATGTAATTTCAGTACTCACAGATGGTTTTGATGTAACTATGGTGGATCCTTGACCTGTTGTTTCAACATGTGGACTTGTGGTCGTGGTTTCAACAACAGCTGTGGTAGAGGATGTTGTTGGTCCCGATGTGACTATTTTTGGTGTTTTTGTTGTCATAACTGTGGCTGTTGTGGATTCAAATGCTGTTGTCTCTGCAGGTGTTGTGGCTGCTCCTTTAGTGGTAGTGAAAGGCCCAGATGTAATTTCAGTACTCACAGATGGTTTTGATGTAACCGTGGTGGATCCTTGACCTGTTGTTTCAACATGTGGACTTGTGGTCGTGGTTTCAACAACAGCTGTGGTAGAGGATGTTGTTGGTCCCGATGTGACTATTTTTGGTGTTTTTGTTGTCATAACTGTGGCTGTTGTGGATTCAAATGCTGTTGTCTCTGCAGGTGTTGTAGCTGTTCCTTCAGTGGTAGTGAAAGGCCCAGATGTAATTTCAGTACTCACAGATGGTTTTGATGTAACCGTTGTGGATCCTTGACCTGTTGTTTCAACATGTGGACTTGTGGTTGTGGTTTCAACAACAGCTGTGGTAGAGGATGTTGTTGGTCCCGATGTGACTATTTTTGGTGTTTTTGTTGTCATAACTGTGGCTGTTGTGGATTCAAATGCTGTTGTCTCTGCAGGTGTTGTAGCTGTTCCTTCAGTGGTAGTGAAAGGCCCAGATGTAATTTCAGTACTCACAGATGGTTTTGATGTAACTATGGTGGATCCTTGACCTGTTGTTTCAACATGTGGACTTGTGGTCGTGGTTTCAACAACAGCTGTGGTAGAGGATGTTGTTGGTCCCGATGTGACTATTTTTGGTGTTTTTGTTGTCATAACTGTGGCTGTTGTGGATTCAAATGCTGTTGTCTCTGCAGGTGTTGTAGCTGTTCCTTCAGTGGTAGTGAAAGGCCCAGATGTAATTTCAGTACTCACAGATGGTTTTGATGTAACTATGGTGGATCCTTGACCTGTTGTTTCAACATGTGGACTTGTGGTCGTGGTTTCAACAACAGCTGTGGTAGAGGATGTTGTTGGTCCCGATGTGACTATTTTTGGTGTTTTTGTTGTCATAACTGTGGCTGTTGTGGATTCAAATGCTGTTGTCTCTGCAGGTGTTGTAGCTGTTCCTTCAGTGGTAGTGAAAGGCCCAGATGTAATTTCAGTACTCACAGATGGTTTTGATGTAACCGTGGTGGATCCTTGACCTGTTGTTTCAACATGTGGAGTTGTGGTTTTGGTTTCAACAACAGTTGTGGTAGAGGATGTTGTTGGTCCCGATGTGACTATTTTTGGTGTTTTTGTTGTCATAACTGTGGCTGTTGTGGATTCAAATGCTGTTGTCTCTGCAGGTGTTGTAGCTGTTCCTTCAGTGGTAGTGAAAGGCCCAGATGTAATTTCAGTACTCACAGATGGTTTTGATGTAACCGTGGTGGATCCTTGACCTGTTGTTTCAGCATATGGACTTGTGGTCGTGGTTTCAACAACAGCTGTGGTAGAGGATGTTGTTGGTCCCGATGTAACTATTTTTGGTGTTTTTGTTGTCATAACTGTGGCTGTTGTGGATTCAAATGCTGTTGTCTCTGCAGGTGTTGTAGCTGTTCCTTCAGTGGTAGTGAAAGGCCCAGATGTAATTTCAGTACTCACAGATGGTTTTGATGTAACCATGGTGGATCCTTGACCTGTTGTTTCAACATGTGGACTTGTGGTCGTGGTTTCAACAACAGTTGTGGTAGAGGATGCTGTTGTTCCCAATGTGGTTTTGGTCACACTGGGGTTTACACTTGTTGCGTAAACAGTCGTGCTGCCTGGAAGTGTCTCTGTTATGGGAGCAATAGAAGTTGAACCTCTAGATGTTGAAGGTGAAATAGTTGTGTTTAAAACAGAAGGATTTGTAATTACAGTTGAGGAAAATGATGATCCAGTTACAACAACTGAGGTTGATGCAGATGTGGTAGAGGATGTTGTTGGTCCCGATGTGACTATTTTTGGTGTTTTTGTTGTCATAACTGTGGCTGTTGTGGATTCAAATGCTGTTGTCTCTGCAGGTGTTGTAGCTGTTCCTTCAGTGGTAGTGAAAGGCCCAGATGTAATTTCAGTGCTCACAGATGGTTTTGATGTAACTATGGTGGATCCTTGACCTGTTGTTTCAACATATGGAGTTGTGGTCATGGTTTCAACAACAGTTGTGGTAGAGGATGTTGTTGGTCCCGATGTGACTATTTTTGGTGTTTTTGTTGTCATAACTGTGGCTGTTGTGGATTCAAATGCTGTTGTCTCTTCAGGTGTTGTAGTTGTTCCTTCAGTGGTAGTGAAAGGCCCAGATGTAATTTCTGTTATTTCTGGTTTGGTCAGTTTTGCCGATGTGGTTTCACATTCAAATGTAGTATTTAATGGAGATGTAGTACTAATAACTGTGACAAAATACAATGACATGACATTAAAACATGCATATACTTCCATAATACAATTCAATTTTCTCAATATTTCTCAATACTCTATCTATATCTTTTAGAAATCATCAGTTTAATACCTGAAGTGGTGTTTAGTATTGTACTAAACGTAAATGGAGTTGTTGTTGGCCCAGCTGTTGTGGTAATAAAGCAGGGGTATATGCTCCTTGTTACAATTCCATTCTCTGCACACTCAGCTGTGATGCAGTTTCCTAGGCCATCAGTTGTGTTGTAGATATTGTCCCCATAGTTGTACATTTTTCCATTAATGATGCATGTACAATCTACAAGTAAAACATTTTGTCTTTTTGTAAATACAAATTAATTCATATACATTTATTATATTATATATAATAAATTAAATTTGAAAATAAATATTTTTTTCAATTTGCCAAGCAATAGATTTATAGCATAGCTTTACAAGCTTATAGTATACTTACAGTTAACACTGTAGTTACATTGTATCCCCGACATTGTACATAAGCTTGAAAGAAAACAACGTTGTGGTTATTTCATTTGTGTCTGGTTATACACTCACTGTGGCATGTTAAACATCACATTTACTTCTCAATAACTGTATATTTCACATACAGTGCCATGAGAAAGTTTTTGCCTTCTTTCTACTTCCTTTTTTTCAGATCATTGAAATAATAGAGTAATAAAATATTTACATTTACCTAGTCCTTTGCCCCTGTCAAAGTGCAGCAGGTTAAATGATCTTAAAAAGTGATTCATCAGGCCAAAATCTGAAGAATTACCTGAGAAACAACTTTATCATATACAATTCTAAAAAGGGTTACAAAGCCACTATGACAGCCCTTATCCATACACAATGAAAACTTGAACCAGCAGTGAACCTTCCCGGGAGTATAGAGGATTTTTGTTTCACACAAACAGTTTGTCCCTAAAGTTATGTGAAAGACTCCAGTAAAAGGAATCGGAAAGTGGGCAAATACTTTTTAATGGCACCGTGTATTATATTTTATATACTTACATCAAAAGACCACATGTTGAATTCTACGTGCATCATTATGTACTGTGTGCTAAAATGGATGGAATGATGAATCTTGTGTGAGACATACCAGGTGTAGCAGTTCTCTGATGGAACCTTTTCACCAATGTTGTAATGGTTGCCTTGGTCATCATAGCATCCACACTGGTCCCCGGAAACGCACTTCATAGTGTCTTCATCAAAGTAGGGTTGGTTCGGGGGACACTGTGGATAGCAGCCTACGATGTTTTAAAATAGTGGTTAACTTGAGTAAATTTACAAGTACAATACATGCAAAGCTTTTTTGTAAACATTTCACAATTTGCCTCTCCTTCACCTATCATGCTCCAATCCTGGGTAAACGATGCGGGACAGACATGTTCACACTTTTCAGTACACTTCTTTATTGCAGCTGTTGACTTACGCACGTGGCTGCAGCTTTTCAGCTACAGCCTACACACAACAACAACAACAACCACAACCACAAAAGGACTTAGTTCATTCTGTTTTAAGCCGGAACACCAGCAAGGTGTGATTGCTGCTCATATACATCCGCCTCCCCCGCAGCCATGCCGCAGACCACGCCCTGCCACAGCTCTGCAGTCAAAAACAGGCTTACTACAGCCACTAAGAGTGAATAGTATTGAACCCTCACTAAATTATATATTTTTCATCTCTGTTCACAAGTCTCTGGATTTCTTTTTTATAAGACTAAGACTGGACTGTATTTTTCCATGTTTGGCAATGTTCACATTCTGTTTAACTTGTTGCTTTTTTGAAGAAGTGGTGTAGACTAAGGAAGCTGTCTCGTGACAAAAGTTACAAATAGTTGTTTGAAATGAAAGTTGCTTGTTTAAAACAAAAATTACTGAAGGATTCATTGTGAATGAGTTCATTATCTAAATACAGTTGCAGGTAGGCTTTTCTGTCATTGTTTTGTTTAGATGGGATGTGAAAATATTCCTTCCTGCCATGTGGGGAATGATGTAAAAAGCTTGTGAACCACTGTGTCATAGGCAGGGATACGGTCTGTTGTTCTGTTGACTTAAGCTCCACATTTAAAACAAAAATAAAGAGTCCACAAAGTGGCATATCAATACTGTGCCTAATGTACCTTCCAGGTTGGTGATGAGTGACGAGCAGTTTCCACATGGATTCCTACATGTTTTCATGCAATTAGCTCCACAAGGCTTATAGTGCCACTCACATTCACCAGGTGAATTATAGTAGTCACAGAAAATAGCTGCAAGAAACAAAACCATTGCTTATTAGACTTGTAGAGTATTGATGATGTTTTTCCTTCCCACTGTCACCAAAGTGCTTGCTCATAGGGGGTCATAAGATTGTTGGGTTTTTCTCTGTATCTATTATTGTACGATCTACTGTACAATATAAAGCGCCTTGAGGCGACTGTTGTTGTGATTTGGCGCTATATAAATAAAGTTGAATTGAATTGAATTACATTAATCAGACTTACGACAAAACTTTGGAGTCCTCCATGCAATGCAGGTCCCAGCTTCATTACAGGCTTTAGCATATGCAGCCACCGCAGTACAGAGACATTCGCAGTCCCCACCAGTGTCACAAGCACAGGAGTCTCTCACACAGGAATCAAAATATGGACCAGGGTCAACCTAGAACACATACAGTAATACACTACCAGTCAGTTTCACAGAACCCCACTTCCAGTTTTTTTATTGAAATTCAGACAGTTCAATTATTCCTTTTACTCTGTAAGCATAGAACAAATAAACAATTCAAGTTAAAAAAGAATCATGCAATCCATTTTTAACCACAATGTATTCAGGGGTACAGATTGAGGAACTGTCCTTTTGCCTCCTCAATACTGTACAAAGATCATAGACTTCGGATTTTGATTCATTACTCCATAACACCTTCTTCCAGTTTTCATTAGTCCATTGGCAATGTTTCACAGCTCAGGTAAACCTCTTTAAACCTCTTTTTCTTATTCTGAAATCTTAGCATTGGTTCTGTTGCTGCAACTTGACCAGTGTTGGTCAATTACTTGAAAAAAGTAATCAGTAACTAATTACTGATTACTTCCCCAAAAAAGTAATCCTGTTACTTTACTGATTACTTATTTTCAAAAGTAATTAATTACTTAGTTACTTAGTTACTTTTTAAAAACACGATTTACAACCTGAAGAGGTGATAAAGCGATAGATCCAATTCTACTTTTTCTGCATAATCCATCATACAAAATGTAATCAAATGGAAAAGTCTCTTTTTAAAACTTGTTTTATTAGTTTTAATCTTTTAACTTTATGCATCAAGAAAAAAATTTAATTATATGCAACATTCTCTGACTTGAATAAATTAGTTTAACATTTAAACCTATTTTCTACACATTCCAGCTCATAAAATAAAATATTTTTTGTGTTTACACTCAGTCTTTCAAATAGATGCAAGTAAAACACAGCAGAAAATAAATAAAGTCAAAGACTCAGCGGTCCTGTTGCTCTATTTTCACCTGTAAAGCAGGAGTGGGGTAGGCGGAGGTTTACCCTGGTGCAGGTGTGCCGCGGTCAGTGGAAGAAGCCGTGAGTTTCTCTGTGAGTTTCCCATTACGTCGTAGCTACTCGGTGCTTGTTTGGAAGTTTAGGGGTTTTTTTCGCTGTAAAAAGAAGTTTTCTTCCCACGCACAGCGGACACTAATGTTTTTGTCACTTTTTATGGAATCAAACTCAAAGTAAGGTCAGTACTTCCACGCTTTAAACGCTGCACGCTCATACTCTCTCTGCACTCCATATGTGATCCATTGTTGATCTGCACACAGCTGTTGTCACCAACGTCGCACTCGCTTACGTCACTGTCGTGAGACATTCTCGCAAAAAATCACGGTTTTAGTAACGCAGTAACGCAGCGTTCCTACGGGAAAGTAACAGTAATCTAATTACCGTTTTTGCAATAGTAATCCCTTACTTTACTCGTTACTTGACAAAAGTAATCAGATTACAGTAACGCGTTACTGCCCATCTCTGAACTTGACCTGTCAGTTGAAGTTGAGGCTTGCTTACTATGACCACAATTAAGCTCTGCTTCTAGCTCAGAAACTTGTCTTCTGACTCTGTTGAGGTTTTGGCTCTAGTAGACTTTTCCCCTGTTTCTGATTGCCTTTTGAAGATGAAGGACACTTGGCATCTTAATTTCTTTGTAGGAAAGATTTACACCTTTTCTCACCATTTTTATAGCAACACACAACTTTCTGCCCAAATCCTGAGGGTGTGGTACCACAATGTGCTCCAACACTACCTTTATGTAGACATACGCAGGTTTAAGTTATCGCCCACTACTCTGGATTATTCCCACAGTCTAAAGACATGTAATTAGTGGGATTAGGTTAACTGGTGATAGGTGGGGTAGGTTCCAGGCCCCCCACGACCTTGAATAGATAAGTGGAAGAGAATGCATGGGCGGATGGATATCACATATCGTGTCTATTAGGTAAACATTCCTAAATGCCAGACATTAAGATAAAAGAACAAAGAGCTCATAGGGGAAATTAAAGTGCATATTCTTTTGTGCATTTTTGTGTGTGTGTATCCATTTCTGTATATTTGCTACCACCAAACATACTGACCTTTGAATGACAGCTCTGGAAGGTGACACTTGTGATGATACTGCACTGTTTTTGAGACCAGGCTGCCCGGTAGCGATTTGAGGCACAGGGATCACTGATTAGCTCTGCACTGGGGCAACTAGATGAAACTTTCCAGCTGTTACCAAATTGTAGAACATCTGCTACTATTTCCTGGGAGCGTGTGGTGAAGTCATTCTTACTGTTACCATCATAGTTTCCACACAGACCACAGACCTGACCCTAAGAGGAAAGGAAGCAGTGGTACAAATTAAAGCCCTCGTTTTAATGCTTTTTTTTAATTACAGTGATATCACAATTATTAATACGTATGAGTATCAATAATTGTGTAATTGTATTTCTATTTGTACTGACTACTAAATTTCTGTTATTGTGAAATTCTTAATATTAACTTTCTTAAGCAATTATACTTCAACAGTAAAAAGAAGTAACTGTCAATCCAGATGTGCAGAAGTTATTTCTTTTACCTGGAACTGTGGACTGATTGTAATGAAAAGACTGGTCTTCTGGTCCCACATGAGAACAAGTCCAGGCTTGATTGTCACCACTATGTAAATGCCCATTTTTTGTACCTGAAGCGCCTGGATAGTGCCCTTTACCACTTGTAAATTGTCATCTTTAAGCTGGAATTCATTATCCTGTGGGTTACAGCAGCAATGAATAAAACAGGAATTTTATTTTTGTAGAATTTAAGCTACCTGGAAACCATATATGTGCAACAAACCTGAAAAGCTGAAAGCTCTTTTGTTTTTTCAAAAGATTTCAAAAAATTGAATCTAAAAACAGTTAAATGATACAACCTTTAATTGATTCTGTAGTTTCTTTTTCTAGTATTAATTGTGCAATTTTAATATTGTTGGTGAAGAGTTCTTAAAACATTTTACTCTACATTCACTCTACATTTTGCAGTCATTATTTTTGAAAATGAGCACAACTGAAGGATTTTGTGTTTACCCCCAAGAAGATCTTGATGGTCTTAGAACAGGTGGTTCCTGTTGTTCCACATGGAACATTTTCAGTAATAATTCTGAAGCTTCCATTGCCATTATAGGTGCCACAGAAGTCCTGAGCAAAGCACAGTGCATGCAATTACTGGATACCAGTGTTAAAGTTAGAATCCTTAAGAGTTGCATAAAATCGATTTACTGATAAAAATGTTGATGTGCCTCTTTCTGTTCTGGTAAAGTAGTATACAAGAAACAGTAGCCAGAGTGAGCTTTACAATGAAGAGCTGCAGAAGAAAGATGGTACAACAGTGTGTTGCCAAATCTACCAAGGCTACAAAGTTTTCATTTTTAACTTTTAGCAACCTTACTTGTAGAAGTGTGTATTCGCACTGTCCACTGAAGTCGAACCTCTTATCGTCAAAGGTGACGTAGTGACCATCTCCATAGATTCCACAAACAGCATCACACGTCTCGTTGGTACATGTGAACTTCCTTCCACTGCAGGAACTGGGGAGAAACACATACAGCCGACAAAAACTATTAAATTAATTTCAAAATATTTGTAATATCTGTGTAATCAAGAATACAAAATACAAAAAAAAAAAAAACCCCCACAAAAAAACCCGCTGGTGATTAATTAACTACCTACCTTTATGTTTTTACAAATATAATTAAAACAACTTTTTCTATTCAAACATTTGAAAAGTACAGTGTATTTGGTGAAAACACTGCCAAATTGTATCATTTAAACCCTGATTATTCCTGAATTAGTGTTATTTTACAAGATGGGGGGAAACTTCTCACTTGTATTGGCCAAACAAGTATAAGTGCAATGACAAAATTAGTAGAGACATAACAGCAAATATAGCTGAATAGTGAAAATATAGTGACGTTTTTATTTAGTAAACAAGTTTTATAATAGAAACCCAACTCCCAAAAAGTTGGGACACCTTGCAAACGTAAATAAAATGTAAATAAAAATGATTTGCAAATCTCAGAAAGTCATACCTTTTTCACAGTAGACCATAGAAAACATGAAATGTTTGAATAAATGAAAAGGTCATTTTAAATTTGATGGCAGCAACACGTTGCACAAAAGCTTGGACAGAGTGTTGTTTACTACTGTGTATCATCCATCCCCTCTTCTTTTAAAAGCAATTTGCAAATGTCTGGGAACCAAGACCATCCCTTGGACTTTTGGAGGACGAATGTCTGATATTGAATTCTAGCAGTTCAACAATCTTGGATTTTCTTTGTCATATTTTTCATTCATGTTTTCAAGTGTAATTTCTGGAATGCACGCAGGCTAGACCCGTAGCCAGAGCCTCCTACTACAGAGCTATACTGTTGTTCCAGATGCAGTATAAGGTTTAGCATTGTTTTGCTGAAATATGCAAGGTCTTGCTGAAAAAGACATCTTTTTGTTTTTTTGTTTTTTAAGAGATGAAGGCATTTGGACTGAGTCCTGATAACTTAGTTGCCTCTAGTGTGAAGAAGACAGTAGCCATTTTATTTTGTGGAAAACAAAAGAATTGGAAGTTTTGATTTATCAGACAACAGAACAGTTTTCCACTTTTGTAGTTTCTTATTATTCATTTTAAGCATGTTAGTGACATGTTGCCAATTAAACTACCTAATTGCAAAATGTTTCTCCAGCTGTTATTTTAGTACAACTTACTTTTTCAGTCTTGCATTGCCTTATCACACAAACATTCATGCAGTGCTTTTTATTTATATCCAAACTCATTTAACACACCCTCAGCTGAATGCACTGGGGGCAACTTTGGGTTTTTTCCCAAAGATTCTTTGATTGGATTGATCTCCAGATATTTTGATTGGTAGAAAACCTGCTCTGACACGTGAGCCTTGGCAGCAGTGGCGGCTGTGTCTCAAACAAGTACTATGAGAAACAAGTCACCTATTTAACTGACGTTCTTTATTGTAGTGGAAATATGTATAAATTCTTCTTATAACCTATATACTGCTGTTGAATATTTAAATATACATCTTTGTATGCTTGTAAAGAAATGTACAAACCAGGTATTGCAATCCACTGTCAGTGTCTCTCCAGGCTGGTAGACTTGTCCATTGTGCACACATGGACAGCTGGTCTCATTGACGCAGCCTCCTGCTCCATCTGACAACAGCCCATCTGGGCATATGCAGCCTGATGTACAGCCTGTGTGGATCTGTATCCAACCAGAGTGAAAAATGAAAGGAGAGAGTAAGTCAAGCAAGACCTGTGCATGTACTGCACATTTAAGCACACAGCCAAACTGGCACAACTGTGCTGTACTTACACAAGCCATGTCAGCGGTGCTGCAGCTCTTTTGACATTCAGTGCCAGTAGCCCCAGGTTGAGCAGTGGAGCAGTCAAAGTACACCATGGGATATTCGCATTGTGGTGAACCTAATGGTAAACCTGGGAACAAAATATAACAGCTTCACATTCATAGTTTTATTGTCATTGTGAATTTATTTACAGTTCACTGAGTGAAAACTTCATAATATGAAAGAGAACTGAAGATGTTTGGCTACTAATTTTATCAAACAAATTAACGACAATAGCATTTAATCTGTGTGCATAATGTTAATTACGGTGCCTACTTAGTAGCTGTGTTCCTCCAGAGCAGCTGAGAATGCCTTGTCTGCAGACACTGTGAGAACAATTATGAGGGAACATGAGAAATACTTTTATATGACATAATATCCTCAGTCATTCTTTAACCGTGTAGTTTCTTATTATTCTTTTTGTTATTTAAAATGTTCATGGGCAAAAAACATCCTAGTTGTACTGGTGCATTCACAGCATGAATTTATAGAATGGAACAACATTTTTCCTCTAACTTGCAAGTCAATGCTTTGTAGTTGGTATATATACAGAATACGGCTTCCAGCATCCTGTGTTCCCCAGTTCAAAATTCGTTTAATCCTCCTGTTTTGTTCGGCGCAAACACGTCCCTGCCATTAACACGTGTCATATTGAGTGAATACAAATCTATTAGCTGAGCTTCACTTTGTTTTTACAGCAAATTAACTTTAGCAAATGAACATTTTAGGTTGGTGATGGTAAACATAAAAATCCAAGAAAGTTGATTCTGTTCTAGCACCGCTGATTAAGAATGGTCAGTTGGTCAATTTCATGGTCATTATGATGCAAAATCTCATGACCATGGCCATGAGTACTATCCATAGAGAGTTGGGGACTGGAAAAAACATAAATAGCACATTTGCATTATGACTAAAAGTAGCAAACATTGCTAAACCTGCAGTCAGCTGAGACTGAAGAAGTTACTCGGATGAGTGACAAAATAGTTCTTCCACTGAAAACATGTCCAGAAGAACAGAATCAACCTTTGAAAATTTCCTTACCTGAATGATTCAGCATGAATTAAGAAAAATTAGTTGGCGTTATTTACCATGTGCTGCCATCTTTACTGATAGTCTGTCCAGGAGGAACAATAATGCCTTCAGCATAGCAGGGACAGGATTCACGGGCTACACACTGGCCTTCCTCATTCATGTAAGTTCCTTCAGAACAGCCACAGCCATCCACTGTGGTGAAGTTGACCTGACAAGAGTAGTCAGTCTGGCCGAGGGAACGGCAGGTACGCCCACAGCTGGTCATGTTGTAGTTATACACAGTTTCTGCTGCACATGATGTGCTGAATGTCTCTGTTATGAGAGATATGAGATGTTTATACAATGAGCCAACAGTTCAGTTCAATTTAATTCAATTCAAATGTTGCAAAAATGAATCAAACACAGATGATTTAGTAAGATTTGTTGTATTCAAATGACCTGCTACTTCTGCCATTATTTAAAATAGATACCAAAATATGTGCCATAGCTGTGGTACTGGAGACAAGAACTGTTCATGTAGTACGAATGGCATGGAAAGATGTCTGGTGGGTTAACACCATAACACAGACATGGTGTCAGCAGCTGACCCATGCTGACAATGTGATGGTAATAATAACATTTATATTAACCCAAATAATTTAGAGTTTCCTCAAATTGTGACTGCTGCTGCTGACTTTAATTTACAGGGGCTCTGACACATTTAATTGTCATGGTCATCGAGGTACAATATTCCTGTGAGTTTAGCACTAACGTTGTTGATTTAGCACAGATTATTCAATTATTTTACATACAAGTGTACTCCAATTGCAGTATGAATGCTGAAAACTGAATTGTTTGAGTTGAATTGTTGTAACTGCTCAATCTTTGCTGAAATCGTTGAAGCTGGCAGGCTGACCGTTTTTAGATGAGCTGAAAGCTGAAGAATATATCCAAATAAGCTGACAAATAATGAATGTTTATCTGAAATTGATGCGAAAACTGATACATTGCATTATTACATTTAAGAAGTGAATTTAAAAAAACTGTAGATGACTTAATGATTAGACTCAAGGATCTTAAATGAAAAGCCAGCATATTTTCACATGTTTGAGGGTTTTTATTTTTTAAAAAGCTCTTTATTTGATGTGCTTGAAATGATATTTAAACAAAAATTTAAAGACAAGGACTGATTAAAGTAAGTTTTAAAAAATTTCTAATGATCCAGTCAATGAAGAGCTCATTCAAATTTCATGAAATTCGAATCCACAAATGAAAAATAGACCTAAAGTGTAATCAACAAATCAGAATGACCTATTATTCTCATACATTGATTGCTGGTATAGAATCAGTCTGTGGGAAATTGCTGTTAAATTTCCCTTTTTGAACCTGTCGATAAACTGCTTCCAAATACAAAACCAGAACTCATATCATAATACTTTTTTAAAAATAAGGACCAAGGACTTCTTCGACATGACAGTGGGTCTCTCCGCATTTAATCATTAGTAATCATCAATCTCTGCTGCTCTACCACAGCATGTCTTTTGTCCGGTCTTCCTCCCCTCACCTCAGCCAGTCACGGCGGATGGCCCCGCCCCTCCCTGACCCTGGTTCTGTTGGAGGTTTCTTCCTATTAAAAGGGAGTTTTTCCCTCCCACTGTCGCCAAAGCATTTGCCCATAGGGGGTCGTGTGATTGTTATTTTGTCCTCTGTTGTATTATTGTAGGATTTTCATTTCCAATCCGGTCTACCTTACAATAAAAAGCACTTGAGGTGACTCTTGTTGTGATTTGGCACTTACAATATAAAACTGAATTGAATTAAATTGAATTAAAAATTGGGCCGTGGGGCCAATCTAAAAACAAAAGGGTTCAGTCCTGTTGTCGAGAAAACCCCCTCACTAAAAACACAATGTGCTTCAGCGAGCATTGGCACATCATGTCAAGAAGAAGAAGACAAATGGTCCTATGTTTTGAATGTAAAATCATGCCTGTGGACACAGCAGCAGTTGAAAGAGAACATGTTCAGATAAATTTGTTGTTTGAACCCGTGTTTCTCTTTTCAAGGATGCTTAGTGTTTTACTTACCACAGATGGTTTTCCTCCAGCCACTGATGTGGACTCCTGCTGCTGAGCAGGCATAGACATATGAGGAAACTGCAGCACACATGCAGTCCTCACTTTTTTCACAGTTACAGGTGTCATACATACAGTTCTGTCAAAAGAGTATTCATGAAACGATTAACAAGAGTTCAGCTGCAAAGTTCTCATTAAAACTTTGCATGTACAGACCTACATCTTTATATGTGCTGGGGCTAACAACAGCGTGGCAGGGAGCAAATACTCCCTCGGGATCAGTTAATTTGGAGCACCAGAAATCAGCATATTTCTCTAAAACACAGAAACATTCAGAATTAAACTTGTTATATATCATCTGTTGTTCAATAAAATCTTGAAAAACAGCAAGGAAGTATGGTATTTTTCATATAACATAATAACTTTTATAAGATAAAACATAATAATACAGGAGTTTTATCTGTACCTGTGAGGATGTTGTTGTTACAAGGGTCTCCAAAATGTGATATAATGTCTGGGCAGCTGGCTCTGGTTTTCCATGCATTTGCAAATGCAGCAGCAGTGCCTTCCACCAGCCCACTTGTCACTCTAAAGTCGTCACTCATGATGTCGTTGAAGTTTCCACATAAACCTTTCAAATAAGAAGTTCCACAGTTACACAGATTCCAGACGTTCCAGACACTAACAATAATGTGGAGACATACCAGAGGTGGTTCCTGTGAGGGACCTGTCAGCTGAAATGAACAGCTGCATTATGGGAGACAGCTGAATCATCAGTTGTATGCCCACTGTGGTGCTTACAAGGATGTAGAAGGAAGATGGCTTAAAGACTCTCAGATCAGCTGTAGAGGTCAGAAGACATGAAAAATGTAGCAATTAATTCAAACACAAACATACAAACGTCAATGACGCAGATAAATAAATACAACTAATGAGTGTGGTGCTTTTGTTCCAATTCTTTATTACATATTTTGTAGTGAGTTGAACAAAATTCTTTTGCAAATACTAATTTTGCTGGCCCTTAGCTTATGTAAATTGAAAGTCACGTTCAAGCACGTTCAATTTACCTGTGATAAATTGTCAAGTAAGACAAATTGAATGTCACATAAAACAAAAGCAAACAAAGAATGCATTAAATGATTATATAAGTACTTGGATTTCTAATAAACCTATAGTGAGGGTGCGTTGGGACTGCCTGACAGAAGGCTCTGTCTGTGAGGTGGCAGCTTTCCAAGGTAGGCTGAGAACATTGAGTCTGAATCAACAATGTTCAGCATCTCCATTGTTGAGGCTGCTGCAAAAAGTTGCAGCTGCGAGGTGGTGCCTGTCATGGTGGTAATCCTTTAGCCAGACTGTAGACACCTGAGCAAAGGGAGCTTTCAAGCTGAAGGTGTCCACAGGTTAGCCTGTGGGGACTTTGGAGGAAGCAGAGCGAAGCGGGCTGCCGCTGCAGTACACCGGTCTTTCGTGGTGAAGAGAGAGCTTAGTGTGAAAGCAAAGCTGCCGATTTACTGGTTGATCTATGTCCCTACCCTCACCCGTAGTCACCAGCTTTGGGTAGTGAACAAAAGAATGTGACTGCAGATAGAATTTGCTTTCTCCAAAGAGTGGCTGGGCTCCCTACTGGCAGGAGGCTGATGGGGTAGGCACACTGGAGAGATTACATTTGTCTGCTGGCCCAGGAACACCTTGGCGTTCCTTTAGATAGGTTGGAGAAGGGGGATAGGGAGAAGGAGGCCTAGGTTTCTCTGCTTAGGCTGGAAAACCCTCAACCCGGGGTCAGAAGAAGGCAGGAGGCAGAAGAAAACGGATGGATGAATGGGTGTTTTTTTAAAAACATTTATTACTGAGGAAAATGTGCATACATAGACTATGATCATTATATTAAGAAGATGTGTTTACTATATGTGGACAGTGAAATGTGAGATAACTTACCTGTAAACAGTGGAGGCTGAGAATGAATCTGGTTCACATAGACCTGCCCAGATGCCTGAACTTTAACAACCTGTCATTTTGCAGAAAGACGCATTTTAGACACACCAGGATTTGCAAATTCTTATTGGTGAGAAAAAGCACAAGATTTTGTGAGATCTGGATTTTTTTCAGACACAAGGAGTAATGATGATGTTTTTATGCCTGCAGCTTACCACAGAATTGCTGCCTAAGGCCAAAGTTACAGTTCTGAGGCAAGTCTTTGTGTCACTTAGCCCGCACTTGACCAGATCCACCAGCACAGTGTAGGACAAACCATTACTGTCCTGCAGAGCACATCAAAACAAAACATGTAATCAGTCACCAAAAAAAAAAACATTACACTACACATGTATGTACTCAAATCATATTATTATATTAGCATATTATTTTCTGATGGTGCATCCGGTTTAAGATGCTGCTGTTATGTGTATGTGGAGAAGGACTAGCAGTGAGTATCACCTTAGCTAGAACATAGGAGCAATCGCCATGAAATGTGTAGACTTTTCCATCAAAGGTGTTAACATGAGCTCCTCCTTTGACAGAACAGATTCCTGGACAGTTTGTCTCTGTACAACTCCACTGACCGCTTTCACATACACTGTCAAGACACACACACATTTCATTTATGTATTAAAAATTATTAATATGGTCAAATATTCATATAACTGCTTTAGTAACACACTGCATTACATTTTCTACTATGTCTTAAAATAAACTCACTAACGTTTGTAAAACTTTAAAAAGGTAAAAATGTCACATAAATGTACAAACTGTAAATGTGAGGAGACTGCTAAAACATTCTTACTTGCAGTACCTCCGACGTACACAATAATTTTGTGGGAGATTGTAATTGTGTAACTTAGAAATGGCTTTAACACTTAATCATCCTATCAAAGGTACTCTTAGATTCATGTCTTTACCATTTCTAGTATCACATACACAATAAAAATGTTTTATTTTCATTTTTTTAACTCTGCAACAAAGTGGCACAAATTCATTTTACCAGGATCCACAGTGGTGCGAGTAGGACTCTCCTGGCTTGTAGATTTCGTTGTTGTGCAGACATGGACACTGAGAGACTGCGATACATCCGCTGTTACCAATATCATCAAAGACCATCCCTGAGAAAGAGACGCAAAAAATATATATTTATATATATATATATATCCATAGGTCCCTCATCCTATTCACGTAACCCCTTCCACCAGGGTTACTTGCGTAGTAGCATTCCAACAACGCCCTGTTTTCGTCTCTTGCCCACCGATGCCTTCTTGTTCCAGTAGCCCACTTCTCGTCAGGGTGCCCTGGTTCCTCAACACCTGACGCGGACCTTGTTGATCCGGGCGACGTCCGAGCCAGCATGCCTTCATATTTATCTATTTAAAACAGGCCTGGCCCGGATCCGGCATCAAGCTGGCACTTCTGACTGAGTGGTGTCATGGCAGGGTGTATGTCAACCAGATGTGCGCCAGGTCTGGCAACGACGTCACTCTTTATGTGATGGCATGCCATATCTGGCCCGATTATGGTTTGGTTTATGTGGCCCAGGCCCATAGAAAACAGCTCTGGCCGGGATCCGGCATCAAGCTGGCACTTCTGACCGATGGTTGTTATGGCAGGGAGTATGTCAACCAGATGTGGGCCAGGTCTGGCAATGATGCACTACTTATGTTTCTGTTTTCCTATTTTAGTTAGAAGACCCAAATGCCATGTTGCAATACTATACTACTATGGTAGCTGACGTTTCAAATGCAGGTCTGACAGATTTGTGAGTTTACACTTTATTTTTTTCTACTGTTGTCATCCCTTTCTCTCTTCTGGTCCACTTGTCAACCAATCAACATTTGGCAGAATGCAAAGTAGTGTGTGGTCGAAACTCTCTCCCCTCTCTGTCCTACTGAAATCGTGTCTGCCGATGGACACAATTGTGGGACCATAAAACAATCTTTATCTGTTGGATATGTGTGGTACATTGTGTTTCAAGTTCCCAGTCAGAATATTTATCTGGAATGCCACCTCAACTCAGAAAATCCAAAAACTCAAAACAAAGAAATAAAAAAATAAAAAAATTGGAGCAACCCTACCAACCCTAAGTTAAAAATCAAAGATGGTGGCAGTGAACATAAACAGTGGTGAAACTTTTAATCTGTACTGCCACTGGTATCTAATTGTGACTTGCTAAATAATCCATACACAGAGTGCTTATCAGGTTCTATCATAAATGTGATACCATGGTGTTTTTAAGCACAAAAGAGGTATTATGCTATATTGCTAGTGATGCATGAATGGCTCAATCCAAGAAGCAAAACAAACCCTGCTTTTTTTTATCTTCTGACTTCATTAAAGGGATGTGCTGACTCAGGAGCGACGTGGCTCCCGAGTTCCGACATCTGAGATCCGAATTATGCAGTTTTAGTTTTGTGTGAACAACCTGGCTGCGACTGCCCAGAATACTTTGCAATTGTTTTCTCTCTGAGAGACAGAAAGCAAGAAATGGAGTGCAAAAGGAGTGTGGATATACCAGCAGGGCAGCTGCAGCCATCATGACAATGGCTGTCACATGTCTGGCTGGCCTGAGGGGTGGAACAGCTGTCAGGACATGAACTGCTGCATTCCAAGAACACCATGTTGTATGGACATTTCTTGTCTGTGGACAAAAGTTTTTCAATGTCAATTAAAGAATTTTGCAAAGTATAAGGAAAAAACACTGCCTATGATGGAGACCCAGAACTGTAAATGTTGCACCCTTACAGCAAAATGTATCGTTCCTCCATTCTTGGGGTTTGCCACCTGCATGGATGCACTGTCTGGAGAACTCTGAAAGTGTTTTGCAGAGGACAAAAGTAGTGTTGTCTGTAGAGTTGCACGTGTCCACCATACAGGCTTTACTAAAGGATTCCACGTCAAGAATGTTTTGGCAATCAACAAAGGGATCACTGGAGAAAGTCTGGTCACAGAATTGCTGAAAAAGAAGTCAGTCAGTTAAAAAAATACATACTGCCAATCATTTTTAGAAGCCTACAGTTTGAACCCTCAAGGTAGCAAGGTAACATCTGTTTGAGTTTACAATAACAGTGCGTTGAAAAAGTGTTCATACCCCTTGAACTTTTTCACATTTTTGTTACAACCACAAACATGTCACAGTTTTCAGATTTTAATTTGCTTAAAATTTTGAAAACCGTGCATCATTTCCATACCACTGCACAATTATGAGATTCTCTGTATTGGTCTATCACAGAAAATCTTAATGAAAACATTTTGGTTTGTGGTTGTAAGGTGACAACATTTCCAAGAGTTTAAGGGGTATGAGTACTATAATACTATATATATATATACTATATACTATAATACTATTAAGAGAGCAGTGCAAATCAGTGCAAATCAATAATATAAATGCATTATAACACAGTATAAATCTAAGAACAATAGCTGCATTAAAGACATTTGTGTGTTATCATATGCCTGACAGATGTTGTCACCTGGCACAGAATGAAGAGTTATTATACAGGTTTATGAAGGATTGTAAAAATTATTTCGTGGGTTGAATTAGTCTGTGGGAGAAGGTCTGCTGGGTTAGGGTTAAATAAACACACTCTTACTACTATACTCCGCACGTCTGAGGCAGCTGCAGTGCAATATTAAATAGTCTCTGTATTACTGCTACTGTTTTGCTTTTACATTTTTACTTTTCTTTGTATTTTTAATCACAGGTGTATATATAACATGTTGCAATGTTTCACAGTGGCACTTTAACCTTGTTGTTTATTTGTTGTTTTCTGTAGACTGTATAAATAGTATAACTACTTGTCATCACAGTAACAGTTTTAGTGAAGATAGCATTAGTTAAACTACAAGAATGTCTTTAAGATATAAAGAACTTAATGACCTCTAATTTCCTGCTTCTCAATTCAGATAGAAACTAGTTCACGCACAGTGCAGTAAGAGTTCTGACAGGGTAAAGGCTCCGGTCCATTCGCACCAGAACCTCTCGCCATAAGAACAGTTTCTTCCCCTCTGCTGTTGGACACATGAACAATAACCGTATGACTGTTCCCACCACTAACACATGACCCTACGCTGTGTTGACTGCATCATTCCATGTTTGGCACTGATCACCACCTGCACTCATGTATATATCATGTATATATCTATCTACTTAGCACTTTTAATTCTTATTCTCATTTTTATTTTCATGTCCATTTAAGCTTAATTTATAACAGTATTTATAACAGCATGTTTGCACTGAAGCACCGCAGCAATTTCCTAATGTTGTAAACCCGCTCAACATTTGGCAATAAAACCCTTTCTGATTCTGATTCTGATTCTGATTCTAAAGAATCAGATAACATATTTCTCCAATACCAGCTTATCTTCATTGGCTCCCTGTTAAATCCAGAGTCAAAGTTAAAATTGAATCTTCCCTTTGCTATCCTGCTTTGGGCCTAGGCTGCTGGTGGCTTTCCATGATACACTGTTTCCGCATTCACCTCTTTTACCCATTATGTTTTTATAATAATAATGGATTGCATTTATATAGCGCTTTTCGGGGCCCTCAAAGCGCTTTACAATGCCACTATTCATTCACTCTCACATTCATACACTGGTGGAGGCAGCTACAGTTGTAGCCACAGCTGCCCTGGGGCAGACTGACAGAAGCGAAGCTGCCGTATCGCGCCATCGACCCCTCTGGTCATCACCAGTAGGCGGTAGGGTAAAGTGTGTTGCCCAAGGACACAACGACCAGGACAGAGAGCATGGGGATTGAGCCGGCGACCTTCTGGTTACAGATGCGCTACCCAACCCCCTGAGCCCTCTTACACAGTGTGTCTTTATGTCGTCTTCTGCCCCTCACCCCTGAGGTGAGGCCGGATGACTGACCCTGCTAATGGTTTCTTCCTGTTAAAAAGGGAGCTTTTTCTTCTCACTGTCACCAAGTACTTGCTCTCAGGCAGTCATCTGATTATTGGAGTTTCTCCATATTACTGAAGGCTCTTAAACTTACAATATAAAGCACCTATTGATTTTGTATAATTAAAACTGAATTTAATTTAACAGTGTTGAAAATGAGAAATAGTGAAGACTCACCTTATCACCACAGCTCGGGACTGGGTTGATGTCAGTCTCCTCACAGTACTCTGTGGGGCCATTTATCTTCCAGGTCTCAGCATAGTCCACCACAGACACTGGGGTTCCTGTAGTACAGCACAGTCACAATAAAATGATCATGAAGCTTATTGGGGGGCTTCTTCATTACGTATTCTATTTCATAATGAACCAAAAAGGTCACAGGTCTGCATCTAGACTTTCAGTACAGAACTATGCTATTTAAAAATGGGGAAAATTATGCTAATTGAATGACAGTATATGTTGCTCCAAATCTAATAAATATAAGTCAGTATTATAGGGGCCCTCGTAGATGTGTAAGCTAAGACGTTTCCAATGTGCACTAACCCCCATGTAGATTTTTTCAAAAAGAAATTCACTTTTTTTTTTCATCAAACCAAAGCATTTCAGGATCCTTTAAAATTGCATTTATGGATGCAGCAACTAATGGTGGTCAATGACAAATGGTTTTGAAAACCTATGCAATCATTTCTGCTACACAATTATGCCTATTTTCAGTGTGCACGCTTTTGAAAAGGGGCTGAAGATCGCAACTATTCAATATTGTTGACTGTGATTTGTGCACAGAGAATTGTTGAACTATTTGCCTTTGTAGTCTTTCATAGAGTGGAGCTCCTCCCTGTCTTTACTTCTGAATGACTGTGAACCTTTTTGAAAAGTTGCTGCTAACATTAAAAGAAACCAGTGGTGTTCTCTCAGGACAAGCAAGGTGAACAGTGACTGACTTGTCAAATCTAGAGATCATTAAAAGGGACAAAAAAAGGCTATTTCTCTCCTCTCTCTCAGCTTATTCCATGCTCACAAAGTGTAACGTCTCTGCCTTATGAGCATGTCCATCTTGCTTAAGGATACTTGATCTCCACAACTTGAGAGTGGGGCAACGTTTTCCCCCCTTGTGTTTTCTCACATCCACATTGTGGATAGACAGTAACATTTTAGAACATTTTAGAACATTTTAGAACACGGTCTGCGAATAAGGCTTAAGTACCCTGTAATTACGTGCAATTTGCAGGCAACAAGTCATTCTTTCTGCAGGAAACAATGACACAATTATAGACTGTAAGACCTGCGACTAAAGTGCGGGTAACCTGTAGGAAATGTGTTAATCAATACTTAATACTTATTTTATTAGTCTTTCTTTAGTCACCTAAATACAATAAAAAATATACAAAAATTGGCATTCACGTGTATTTACAGTTTTTGTATTTATAAGAACAGTTTATTCAAACAACACCTTAAAATAAATGCATAAAAAGCATAAAAATAAATGTTCCACCTAGGTTATTTACTTTATTTCAAAAAGGTTATGTGTTCATTTTTAGGTGTGTAGAAATGACAACCATGTCATTTATATATATTTTTATGTAATACTAGTGTAATTTCCCAATGCAACACAGTATTTTATTTTATTTCATATAGTATGTTGTTTTATTTTATTTTATCTTATTCCATGCTATTGTTTTTCTTATTTTTTGCTGTAACTTTGTACTGTCCCCTTTCTGCCATGACCAAACAAAAAGTGTGGGACTAATAAAGGTTTATCTTATCTTATCCTATATGTCACCCTAATCACTCTTTCCAAAAAAAAAGATTTTCTTGTTTTATTTTATTTTCTTGTTTGGTTTTCTCTCAAAATGTTTTCCTCCTGATTATTTCATTGTAGGATCTGGAAAGAACCGTGAAGCAGAACAGCGGCGTTATCAGTAGGTGTGGTTTTCCTAGCTAATGGTCTGCAATGTTTTTCCCCTGTTTGTAAAATGCTAAAACTTTATGTACATGTCTTTGCTTTGTTTAAAAAATGATAATAATTGGACCTTAACTATACTCAGACATTTCAACGCAGCTTTAAACAGACTGAATGTGTTTATTTTGTCTTTCTTCTTTTAGAGACTGCCCTTGATCACTTAATGCACAGGTACAAATGTATTATGAAAAGACACCAGAAGCTGTGAAACTGTTCAAGAGACACTTAAGTATGACAGTGTGAACAGGACAACCCTGTCACATATCACTGTTGAGGTACAGTGTGTGCAATGCATTAAAAATATATATATTTAGGAAGTTATTGCACTATCTGTCTTGCTGTCTTGTAAAATATTATACACAAAAGCCATGTCCACACTTTTAATTTTTAACAGTCTGAGGTCATTTTGGACATTTGTTCACAAAGAAAAAAAACTTGCAAATATCATGTGTTTCAGGGTGTAAGTATTGTTTTGTCTGCTAATGTATTTCTAAAGCTAATATTTTAAGGGTTAAGGAATAGTTTCATGTCCTTGTTTTTAATTAAAGTTTAATGAAAACAACTCACATTGTTTCCATCATTATAGGCACAGATGAGCCTATGATATGACTGTAAATATCAATGTATGATTTCAAATAAGAAATGAAGAAAAGTGTTTATCTATGTATCATTTTATATGTAATATATAAAGAGTTGAATACTGAAACATCCATTAGGCACAAAATTAGTTATGTAATCAGTACTTACTGAGTAAGTAATACTTACTCAGTATTTACTTAGCAGGATTCTTAAAATTACTTACAGTACAATTTACACCTCTTTCCCTGTAAAATACCTAGAAGTTAGACGAGATTAAGCGACTCCACAATACACCCCGCTCCCCAGAAAGTACAGGGTACGGTGTAATTGTAAAAAAAAAAAAAATCTGCAAAACCCTGACTTGTTGCCTGCAAACTGCACGTAATTACAGGGTACATGCACGTTATTTGCAGTTTGTGTTATAATAACTACAGACTACATTAGACTACCTCCTGAAATATTACAATTATCTTACCATCATTCAGGAATTCATTGGATATGCCATCAAAGTTTCCACACAGTCCACATGTCTGAGTTCGATATTTCTCATCTATTTCAATCTGTGAAGATAATCAATTACACAATAGGTAACTGGCAAAATCACAAGACAGGACAATATTAATTGAACTCCAATATATGGCATTCTTTCCTTGTAATCCATTAAAAGGTTAAAGTAGGACATTCACATGACAATTTGTCTGCATTCTGAGCTCATCTGAATAGCAGGATGAAAACCAGAACAAACAGCTTGTAGAACTAAGGGGTCATATATAGATAAGAATCGGAAGGAGCATATTTGGAGGCGACGTCCCTCTCCTCACATCCTGATAATTTATCTCCAATAAACAGCCAGTCAGATAATTTATTTTTGTATGTGAGAGAAGGCTTCATACATCAAGGGAGTCGTCCAGGTTCCAGATTGCCTTTATTCCCAGATTAGCTTCAACAGAGATACTAGATGCGGTCCCCTTGACAGTCACTCCTGATTTACTGAATGGAAGAGATTCCCTGGTGCAAACAAAGAGTGATATTTTAAAAATGAGTGTAAAAATTAAAACAAATTCACATTACCCTTGTACTGCTGCTCTTTAGTTATACAAATCAGTCATTAACAGACCAGACAGACCCCTAACCCCACTGCCACAGAATATTGCTAGGGCTTTGTTTGAGCATTTGAAAGGACAAGATAGTGTCCTATGGAGGGATATTGTAGATTTGCAGGTTGCAGCGGATGCTTACATTTAGGTTGAGTGCTGCTGTCATTAAAGCAGAATAAATCTCATATTAAGATGGTACAATGCTGAAAATGTAAACAGATACAATTGGACCTACGTTTGATATTGGATTCTGACTCCTGCACCCCCCTGAATATATAGTAGTTAAAGTTACTGAAATATTCTTGGAAAAATGTCAGTACAGTTGATAGGTCTTTCCCGAACTTACATCTTGCCATTGACAAGCACTGAGTTGTTAGAGAGCTCCACCTCAGATCCTTCCAGCATCATGATGATTTTGCTGATTGTGGGGATGTTGTTGACTAAGCACCGCCGCATCTGGATATTAAAGTTTTCATAGCTGTCCTTGCATTGTATTGCAAGGACATGGTTACAACTCGAATTCAGCTGGAAGAAATCGCCATCAAAGGTTTTGAAGTGATAGTTTCCCCAAGTTGTGCACACTCGGCCAATGTGGGATGCATTAGCTATAAAATTAATAAATTAATAAATTACAAATTCTTTTTGAGAAATCGTTTTAAATTTACATGAAGACCTGAAGAAAAAATAACCATATTGGACATTTGCAAACTTACCTGAAGTCATGGTCAGTGTGTTTGTAGAAGGAGCAGTGGTCACTGTAGTAAAGACAAAAAAAAGGTATTTATTAATTTAGATGTAGGAAATTAGAAATTATCAACTGACAATTCACTGATATGAAACTCAAATACTCAAACTGAAGATTGCCAAGACAGTTAACTGTTGCAGATATCCCAGAACCGTATGTACTCTTTAACACCAGAAATGGCTTCAGTAGATTTAACCAAGATTGTCTGCAGCAAACTGCATTACAGTTTCTAATTAATGTGTTGAAGCTATGAAATAAATTCTATATAAACCAACCCAAGCATGATATAATGTATCTAAATTTACATCATCAGTTGGGATTCACATGAATGATCAAAGTAAATATGACTCTCTGTCCTCTTCCCAATATCTTATAGCACATCCATTGAGTGTGAAATTCTAATATTTCCAGCACATCATTTACCATTCTGAGTAAATGAGTCGACTATCAGCGTCAGATAGATGAGCCATGATATCAATTCAAGCCCTTTGGCCCCCATGTTGGTCAGGAGGACTAACACTACAGACGATAGGATTCACCTGGGGAACAAGCTCCTTTATAATGCGCCTCTGAAGGTGGAGCTACATTGCATCATATTTCATATTGAAGCAAATCATCAAGTATGTTTACTCAGCAAACATCATCCCCACCACCATACCGAGCAGCTTCTTCACTCTATATACTTCCAACTAACTATATAAAAACAGGAGGTTCTGATGGTTACAGTCCTGGCATTGCTTGACTCTCAGTGCACTAAGACATGAACAAGCCAGAAAACAGAGGGGAAACCGAATTGGTCTAACAGTTTAAATAGTTTATCTGTGCTATTTGGTTAACAACTAAAATAATTATCTGGTATTGAAAAAGTCAGTCCTGACATGAAACAAGTTAAACTAAGCTTAACAACACCTGGAATACAATACTGATCTACGCTTTGCTCCTGACATTAACCCAATCACCCAAACATCTAACACAGAATATACATTGTAAACTGCATAATGCAGATGCACCTTTTTTAGAAGTAGTAGCATTCTCGCTAATACAACTGTTTTTGGAACGTCTGTAGATAAAAATTTAATTACTGGTGCCACACATTTTGGCATCATATACAGCTCGGTCCATATCTTTCGAAAATGACTCATTTTAGTCATTTTTGTCTCTGGACACCACCGAGAATTTGAATCAGACAATAAAGCTACGACTAAAGTACAGACCTTAAATCAAGTGAAGGTTGTTCGAGAATTATTTGGACAGATAAAATCAAGGGTAGGAAGAGAAAACTATGGAAAAGAAAAAGCACAGCTTATAATCTTAAATCTACCACATCAGTTTTCAAAACATAGTGAAGGTAAAATTAAGGCACAGACATGTGGAACTGCATCATTGGTCTCTATTGATGATTTGAGTGCTGTTAGAAGTAGGAGGGTGAAATCTCCGCTCAGATTCAGCCAAATGCTCCAAGACCGATTGGGCAGTGCTTCATAGTGCAAAACATGTTCCCAACATATATTCCAAAAGTAACCCAAAAGTTCTTAAAGCAAATAAATAGGATATGCTTCAACAGAAAATGCAGAGATGAGTTCTTTATGGTACTTTCTGCACTAGTGTGTGCAAGTAAACATTTAGCTCAGCTAACAGTGGAAGATAAAGGTAAGTCCTTCGCTAGTAATGAAAGCTAGAAGACTGCACCACATTTTGCTTTATGATAAATCGGCACACAGTTTTGTCATGGATATACAACATGTCAACTGACCCCTGGACAGCTGGTTGTCCACATACGTCTGATTCATGGAATCATCCTATATAGAGGTCCATCTGTCTCAAACAGGTTATAAAACAACAGTACACAGATCAAAAATAGAGTTTTCTTTCAAGAAAACACTTAACAGTCAAATGTAATGGTTGCTGTTTTTATAGTCAAAATGTTATTTTTCAGATGTTTACAGTGTTGAGGGCAGCAGTTGCCAATTTAAATTTAGATCAGTGATGCTGTTCACTTTTTACTGGCTAGGGCTTGGAAGGCTGTTCTGATGTAACATCTGCTTAGATGATGTTCATGTCAATTGGTTAAATCCACAGATAGCAGTGAACCTCATAACAGCAGTAGCATCAGTCACCTGATCACATGGTGAAAGAAAATCTGCAGCAGTAGTAGTAATACATTGTAAGAAGGGTGGGAATCTCAGGTGGAGGAATATCTGGTGTAGAGCTGCAGCATAGGTCCCTTTGAAATAAGCCAAAATTTATTAATTTTATATTTTTGCTGTCAACCTCATTAAATAATGTTTTAATGACATTGGAAGTTTTAATAGCCTATTAAGCCTGCTGAATTTTACCAGGGAATTTTAAATAAACTTTATCACCCACATGTTTCTGAATAACAACTTTTTATGGTAGTAAATAATAGCAAACCTAACTATGTTGCACTTTCAGTGATTTTTTTATCAGTGGGTTTTTCAGTTTGCAAGATACTGCAATATCTAGCGGTCCGCACCCCTCCCTTAGAAAAAAGGTAAAACAATATGGCACATTGTTCAGGTGCAAACATGACGAGTGTTGCTTTAAGGAGGAGAAGGATTTTGGACTTAATGTGAGAACCCTGTGTAAATAAGTGACAGTGACTCAGCTAACCCCGTCCAGGATATGCATCCTGTGGTCTATTTTTAATAAACTCACTTTCTTTTCTAACTAGAGTGTGTAGGTTGTGTCACTAGAGATGGTATTATTAAAAGTTCACATGCCATTAATTAACTCACAGAAAAAAACATGTTGTTGCATTCAGAGAATTCCTGAGCATCTATCCTTTTTTATTGTAATTTCAGCCGTTTATTTAGACTTTTTCTTGATAAATTTGACAGTCAGTGTGATCATCTTTAAGATCCTTTTACTTCTTCTTCATATAAGGTCAGCCAGACATGAGTATACTGAAGCTCTTATACTGAAGCTCTTATACTGAAGCTCTTCTTTTAATTGTTTCTGTCATTGTTTATTTATTTTTGTTAATCTAGATAAAGTGAATAAAGTCATTTTGTGTTGGCTCCCTCTGTTGTAGAGTATTGCTTCCTGTTCCTGTTACAACACACATTGGTGTTTTCGTGTTGTTTATCTGTGTTGACAATTGAATTACTGTTCGGACTACTAAAAACTCCCTGAAAAGCCTTCAGCTGATCCAAAATGCTGCAGCAAGAGTCCTGACAGGGACTAGAAAGAGAGAGCAGATTTCTCCTGTTTTGGCTTCCTGTTAAATCCAGAATTCAAAATCCTGCTCCTCACATACAAGGTCTTAAATAATCAGGCCCCATCTTATCTTAATGACCTTGTAGTACCATATCACCCTATTAGAGCACTTCGCTCTCGCTCTGCAGGCCTACTTGTTGTTCCTAGAGTATTTAAAAGTAGAATGGGAGGCAGAGCCTTCAGTTTTCAGGCCCCTCTTCTGTGGAACCAGCTTCCAGTTTGGATTCAGGAGACAGACACTATGTCTACTTTCAAGATTAGGCTTCAAACTTTCCTTTTTGCTAAAGCATATAGTTAGGGCTGGACCAGGTGACCCTGAATCCTCCCTTAGTTATGCTGCAATAGACGTAGGCTGCCGGGGACTCACTATATGCTAATAGACCTCTCTGCATTTAATCATTACTTGTTAATATTTGTCTCTCTTCCACAGTATGTCTTATGTTCTGTCTTCCTACCCTCATCCCAACTGGTAGCAGCAGATGGGCCTGGTTCTGCTCGAGGTTTCTTTTATTGTGATCTCTGTTACAGTGTTACTGTTTTTTAAGAGACATGTTTTCATTGTGTTGCATGAAAGACGTTGAGTGTGTCTTGAGGGGGTTAGTCACCAGAGCTGGAGAGTGAGTTATTCAGGAGAACTCTCCACAGCATTAACTGCCCTGTGACTGTACCACCTTAATAAACTATGGTTAAGGCAAATCGTCTTGTGCTTAAGAGTCTACGTGTAAGTTACAGAATATATGTTCAGTGCAGGTAGATATATAGTGTGTGTAGTTATATAGGTATACATGTCATCCAAAAATCCACAACATTCCCTCCTGTGATACCTAGAGGTACCACATCAAAACCCCCATGAACACTAATCCACACAACACACACATAATACAAAGATGGATTATATGGCACCATATGTGAAAATGAAAATAATACAATTAAACAATTAATTCCCCGTGTTGGACTTCAACTTGGTCAGTAAGCAAGCAATTTATTTATATAGCACTTCCAGAACAGTTCTGTACACTTGACATGCCAGAAATGATAAATTGAATAAGTTTAAGAAAATAAAGATGAAAAAAGATCATAATTAAAATGACATTTAAAATAATAAAATTAGCACAAATAGCAAAAACATAAAATAGTATAAAATGATAATTAGAATTACATATAAAACAATAAAATCAGGGTCATACTGTGTCATATGTCAAGGAGTAAAAATGGGTTTTAAGTCGTGTTTTAGAATTTTAAAACTGAACTCTAGAATATACAGGCAACCGATGGATTGAAGCAAGGATGGGAGTTATGTGTTCTCTTTTACGGGTTCTGGTTAAAAGTCGTGCAGCAGCACTTTGGACTCCAACATATAGTGTGTTACAGTAATCCAAACGAGATGAAATAAAAGCATGGATTACTATTTCAAAATGCGGCCTAAAAACTGGACTTGACAGTAGCCCTAATATGACTGTCCAATTAAAATCAGTGTCCGTCTTGGTCAGGTGCAGCTTCTTTTTCTAAACACATTTCTTAGTGTGGGCTATGAAATGTCACTTCAATGTTGACAGTTTCTGCAGACAGCTTCAAGCTTTACTCAGCTTGTTTCCCCCTTTCAGTCTCATATTTCAAACACTTTATGAGCCAGAGAAAAGTTTCTCTTGGTGCTTCTTGACTGCTGGATCTTGCATAGCTCCGAAGAATACTAGCGACAACTTGGTCCTGCTCTTGATTTAGCTCAGTGTCTGCGATGGAT